ATGACTTTCAGTGTGTTGAAATGAAAAACAGATCAGCCAGCACTCTTGACAAGGCAAATACTGTTATACACAAGTCGCCTTGTTTCCCATTCATACCTTCCTACTAATGTTACCCTCCTTTCCAACTGTACTATGGACCAAAGACAATTTGCAATAGATGCCTTTCAGAAACACCATCAATACTAGTTCCAACTTTATCACTCTTACGACTTAAATATCCTTTTAGACATATTTCACCCTCGGTAAAACCAGTAATTCATAAAAACAAAGGCGTCTTTCAAAAACGGACGAGTAACTACAATCGCCATTGTCACAACTTTTTACCCAGGTGAACACAACCAAGATTTTCAACAGTGTCCTTTTGCTTGCTTTATTTCATGGTTCTCAACAAGGTGAGTATATTTTGAACTGAAAACTTTTTCCTTGCTTTCAAAATACAAGTTTATTCAGCTTTCGTTATCTAAGGCCCTCTATCCGTAATATTTCAAAATATATATTCGAATCAATAGAGAATTGATCTAAACGCTCGACAATACAAACAATCATTGAAAATATGCAATGATGGACTCGAGACTTTCCTATGCTATCCTGAGAAATGCCTGTTGCAGAGTTACAGACCGAGTTTTCCATCTTGAAAAGAGTCATATAGAAGACAAAAAACTACCATACGGAATATAATTATGTGTACTGAACAAAACACTCAACTGAGTCTAACTGTTTTCTTGCAGAATATCTTATAAATATCAACCCAAAGACTGTTTCTCAACAACAGACTACAGGACTTTCAACTGCTAATACATACGCAAAAATGTTCTGGAACAATTATCGATAAAAATAAACAAACTTGTGAGACAACTAGTTGATTAATGTACCAACACTCAACGACAGCTTGAATTCCTTTGTCTTTGTTCTCTTCTCGACAATGCTAATCTCAAATTTCCATACAAGACCAGAAGTGAAATAACAACAAGTGTTGCATAAAGTATATAAACTCCAAAGAGATAATAAAATTTGTACTTACTAAAAAGAAACTACAGTCTACTTTGAACTCAGAGCACAGGACTCGATGGATTGTTCTAAAAGAAACATTTGCAGAGCTTAAAAGAGAAAGGTAGATAATAGAAATTCACTTGTCCAACTAAAACGAACGACGAATTTGTTTTAGCAATTAAAGTCTGAGAAGTTTCAATAGCAAACTTGAATCGGGTCCACAGCCTTGACAATACTCACTGAAACTTCCTTTCCATCCAACAATCAAACCGTTGTGTTGAATTTCTGATTGGATTGTTATGAGAAGGATCGCTTTGTATTGTCTCCTTTCACTGGAGATATATTATTTTAAGTGACAGTTTTATGAAAGAAAATATTCCACTTGGAGATATGTAAAAAGTTTCTGGAACAATAAGTGTGCTAGATACCATCAATCTCACATCTCAGTATTTTTGTGAAACGAGAAGAACAGTGTCGTAACAAAGGTCCTCTCAACTCCCTAGCGACACTGTAGCCTTTTAACAGAGTTGAGTTTGATCAATCTTGTCTCTGCAAGGTAAATTTCAAACTACTTGTGAGCCTATTTTGATAACAAATCAAGAACGGTTTTTGCTACAACTAGTTTTTGACTCGTTCTCGATCTGAGAAGCTTTCTTTGTTGGTCACTCAAGATTAAGGAAAACTCCTTAAAGGTGTAAAATGGTCATTTTCTAATTTCAATGACATTAACTCTGTTTGGCTTGCGTTGTGAGAGCTATAATCTTCCCTTCTATGCAAATTACGCTCAAGGAGCAATCTTTGTTCGATTACGAGTTATAAAGAAGAATAAATCGTATATTCAACTCTAGAATTGGAAAGTATACAGAGGACAGGACAATAGTAAAAAACTGACCAAAGGTTGGGAATACTTTTGTCTATACACAAATTCGTACATAAACTACTTACGATAAGTAGGATCGAACCTCAAACGTTTCAAGGCTATTGGTTCATTCTCCACGTAAAGAACTTTTTGAGAGCTTTTAACTAGTATAACAACGGTAAAAGTGGTGATGCTTTTGCTTCTCCTTGCACATGTATTTCAAGATTCACCTTTCTTTGTTACTTTGCGAAGAGGAGATGAAAGATTCTTATTTTTCCATTATTTCTACGTTTATATTCTTTTCTTTTCACTAGGAGACGAAATTGATCTAGTATATTTAAGAGAACAAGACCTTTACCGGTTTGGATAATCACAATATCAATTTGAGTCTGCACAATTTTATTCTGCTGAATAATGCAAAGTTGAAAGAGGCATTTTCCTTCTTTTTAGAGCAATTTGGATAAGACTATATCTTTTCTTCTTTCTTTATGTTTGACTTGTCCCTATTGGAAATGAACGTTTCTTGTATTTATAGACAGTTTGTTTATACAAAACTTTGAGTTGTCTTTGATTCTTGTTACAAATATCTTAAAAGAAGCCTGTACTAGTGTATCCATCTGTTTCTATTTCGCGAGAGTCTTCTGCCTAGTGTCTAACGCGAATGACTTTTGTATTATGACTCACTTATTCAAGGAGCTGATGTTTGAGAGAGTGGAAAAAGAGTAGGAGACGAGTGGAGCTGAACAAATCTTTCCTTGAATTTGCAGAGCTTTTAAAAGTTTTGTTTTCTTCGTACTGGAAGACATAAGAGTTCTCTTGGAGTTATCCATTCCCTAAGGCAGCTTTGTGTTTTATATAGTTTGCTTTCTTATCTATGTTTACAATTTGTGGTTTTTACAAAGTTCAAAGTTGATGGTACAAGAGAAGGCAGTGAAAGCCTTTAAACCTAAACAGTCATGTTTACCTTCAAAAACATCTCAACTATATAGTCGACTACTTGGAAGAGACAATTCAACTATGATTTAAATGCTATGATGAAAAACGAGAAGAGAATCGATAGGATTGTCTCAGTTGGACTGAATTGAACTTTTTTGAAAATAAGTTTTCTCTTAGCAGAATCCACAGTATCAAATGTCACTATTGTCTGCAAGTATTTTCAGAGGAGAAAACAGGAGTTGTTGACTCTTACAGAAATTGGATATTGAGATATGCACTTGTGTGCAGGAGAATGATTCGATTAATACACTAGTGCAATCTTTCAAATATTTCGGAGATACCTTTGAACATGTTTCAAAACTAAAAGTTTTTCATTTGAAGGCTATTTTTGGTGTCAATTTTGCGATATTGCAGAGTTGTAGCAATGATTCAAAATGAATAGACTATACTTACATACATGTTGAATACAACTAGAATGAAAAATATCCTTTCTTGTCCAAATACTTAGTAAAGTGGTTACCGAAAGAATATCTCAAAACATTCTTCAAGTGTCTGCTATGTTGTCTTTCTAGTCTGTTGAAAGAAGACTAGTAACTCCTTTTACTATAATTTTCAAAGACTGAGACAGAAAAAGGTTGTTTGTAGATTTCACTTGGACTGTCCTTCCTGTCTTTTGTTAACTGAATAGAAGAGAGTTTTCCTCGGTTTTAGACAACAAACGAAGGGAGTTGCAGCAAAAACTTGAGGCTTCCTCTAACTTGAGAACCTGCACTGCGGTCTTAAAAAGAGTTTTAGCTTGTTGAAATTCGATAAAAGTTTAGATTCCTTTCGTTTTTATGTGTTTTTTTCAAACTGCATTTCTAGCCTTGGAATTCATATGAATGGCTTCTACAAATATGAAACTTGTTGGATCCAAGAGAAAATATAGCAAAGGTAAGAGGAAATACTAAAAAGAGTATTTTGGTTTGCAATTCAAACTCTATCTCAAAAGTACTCACGACACTATATATCCAAACTCTGTTTTAGTGAATTAGACTGAAAACTCACCGACTCTTAGATAGGGAAAGTAACCCGGTTGCAAAGATGAAAAACTTTGTTCAATTATCGATAGTACAAGAGACATCTTAAGTGACTCTACCCATTTGGACACTGAGATAAGAACTTTCTATTTCAGACAATTACTATTTACATAGGAGTTCTATTTATATTGCATTGCAAAGGACAACTTTGAGAGTGGAACAGAATTGTTTCTAATTAGTCAAAGGAAACCATATCCAATCTTGAAGTATTGTCATTCCACAACAATCACTTGACCGATAACTTAGGAACTACAACGTCTTTCAGTCAAGAGTCATGTTGGGTAAAAGTTCTTCAATATGGAGTGGCTTTCAGTTGGAGAATTGCTGAAGCTTTCAAGTTGGTACACTACTCGACCTTGACTCAAGTATGCAAGGTTTCTTCTTTAGTTAAATAATTTTTTGGCTCAATCTTTTGCTCTTTTTTCAGCATCGATATGTGGAAAATGAACGGTTATAGTTACTATATTTGAAGCCTTTATTGATGTTTTTATATAAGACATATTCACAACTTGGTAAAAGTCGAACAAAGGATAGACAACTTGTGTAGCTATTATATCAATAATGGCTTGTATTTAATGATAAGTCAGTATGACAATCTTCATTATACTCTTCTCCAAATTCATTTAGATATTTTTGTATTTATAGACTGCTACGAACGGTTACAAACTAACAGACTTCCCATTCATTGCAATTCTGTGTTTCCCACTGTATTTCGTCTGTAACTTACAAAAAGCTTGTATCTTATTAGACTTGTATATAGGAGTTTGCGTGTAAGATAGTGTGGAAGATAGTAGAAAAACTCTCTTACGGTATACAAGCCATAGAAAGAGTACCCATCAATCTAATTCACCACAAAAATTCATAGAAATCTATTTCTTGTCTATTGTAAAAGAAAGTTTCTAGTTATGACAAGCAAGAAAATATTCCTGCTTTCTCTCTATTGTCATTGTGAGTCTAGAAGTGTCAAAGAGATCATTTTTACCAATCACCAAATAAAGCAATCGCTCGAACAATAAAACATACACTCCTTCCAACTCCTTTGTCCTCCTCCAAGTGTTTTGTTCTCGGCTCCTTTGAAAGCTTTTAGGTCATCGCTTTCATCACCCTTTTCTCATCATCACTCATTCATTGATTTTGGATTGGCGGCGTGTAAAATGGCTAGTCAAGAGATACGCATAAGTTTGCCTGGAATGACAAAAGTACCGTTAATAGATAGAAAAGAAGATGTTTACATTATTATTCTAACTTATTTGAACCAGTTTTCTCCAACTGAGGGAAACTTGAATGACATACGTCCCGCTGTTTCTTTTTCTCCGCATATCTTCGGAGCCGGGAAGAGTTTTGTCGGTGTACACTTTTTAGAGTTTTTGAACAAATTTGCCGAAGAAGAAGAGCAAAAGGAGACGGAGGGACGCCCTGGCCATTTCCCTGAAAGCAACACGAGCTCATTGGGAGGAGTTAAGGTGAAGAACTTTTTTTGGAAACACTTTGCGGAAAACACTTTGTCAGTTGTCTTAGAACTGAGAGAGAGTTTTTCTGGTGCTCCTTTTCCAAGGTTTCTAGAGGCTTTGATGTATAATATTGTTCTGGCTGCTGACCGAGTGTAATGGTATGGCTGCGCGAGGCTCTTTAGATTTCACGGACGGAGCGGTGAAGCATTTTGGTGTTTTTTTATTTGTTCATTGTCTTCTCGAACAGTTTCAGAAACAATATTTATTTTTGATGATAGACGAACTTAGCCACCTGAGTTACCTCACCACATACTATAGTGAACTTACCATGAAACAATTTATCGAGCCCGATGCAGAATATGTACCTTTCCGGAATTTTTTCCGCTTTTTACGTGATTTGTTGATGACAGGGAAGGTAATCGTCTATTTGGCAGGCAGGACATCTCAAATCTCAGCCCGTATGTCTGATGCTCGCTCCAGTAGCATGAGCCTCGATATGTTGCGATTGAATCCTTTTAACCTCAACGATATTAATGAATATCTTGAGCTGGCAATTTATAGTGGAAAGACCTTGAAGGACTGGTTATTGCCCTCAGATGGCTTGCAACATCGATTCGCAGAATTATTAAAAAAGAAGACAGGAGGTATTCCGTTGATTTTAAAGAATACTTTAGTAGCCCTAGCAGAGAAAGCTGCAGACTTGTCGCAACCTGTTATCAACGATGACAATATGGAAAGTGTGTTAGATGATATTTTTCACTCTGTAGTACGAAAGACAACAACGTTTATTGTTCCGGAGATATTAGATTCTGCAACCCTTCTTCGATATCAATTTGTTCTTTTCAATTATCAGCTCGGGACAGTTTTTCCAATCAACTTTGCAATTGCTCTATGTGGAACGACAACTTATTTGATGGATTTGGTTGCAACTTTTGGGTTTTACTCTGAAGTTTTGGGCGAGGAATTCAAGATTGGTTGTTGTGAATTTATATTGCGAGCTCATAGCAACTATAAATTTTTCCGTGAGGCTACTGAACTTTTTCCTTTATCTCCGTTTAGTTATATTCCCGACACTTCAACATCAAAAGGAGTCTTCTTTGAATTTGTATTTATGAAGATCTTTCGTTTTCGCTTATTAGCTTTTCTTCATTCTAGTTCCTCGCCTATTGTACATTCTGCTATTCCAGGATTTTTCCAGGGTTCTTTTATTGAACAGGACAATGTTTCTTATTCTATGGAATCAACAAAATCTTATGATATACCCATCTTGAGAAATGTCTCTGGTTCATTTTCTGTTCATTATAGGGATTATTTACAACGTTGTGGTATTTTTGTTCCAAAGGATGGCAATTCTAGTGGTCCTGATGCATTTGTTGTATTCCATAATGGACAAACACGTTATGTTGTTGGATTTTCATTCAAATTTTATCACAAAACTGAATTTTCGAAAACAAATATTGAGGAGGAAGCCGAACATTTTTTTAAGGGAGTTGTTTCCGTTTTGAATGACGAATCTTTTTCATCTGTTCAACTTCGTTTTCAGTTTGTGGTAGTATGTACTAGATATGATCGATCTGTAGGTTTCTCTACCGAAGAACATAATATTGTTGAAGATGCAAGTCGTTTTGTGACTCAACATTCTTCGGGATCAACTTTGAATGAAAGTAGTCGATCATGTCTGCAATTGGTAATTGTTTCTCAAAGGAACCTTGAAGTGTATTTGGGACGAGATAATGTCGAAACGTTGAGGAAAATTGGGAAAGCAAACCGAGGAGAGTTTTCTAAAAACTTTTCAGTATGGTGTGAAACTGTTTTTGAGTCGATGTCCAATGCATATGTTTCGTCTTTGGAGCAATCAAATGTTATTTCAAGAGTGGCTCGAAATATAAGACCGAGAACCAATGAGGAGAATAGGATGCAAGTGGAAGAGCTTCAAAGTGCTATGCAAGTGGAAGGAGGAGATGCACGAAGCGAACAAAGGGTTGCAGCATCGAGTTCTTTGTCTTCGTCATTTGATTGGAATACTTTCTTAAGAGACCGTTGTGGTCTTTCTGAAGAGGATGTTGCCTATTGTTTTAGGAAACTTTCAAGGTTTGGCAGAGTTTCGCTTTCCAGACTTAATGAAGATTCATTACTTCGCATGGGTATCAATGATCCCATCGTAATAGCCAAACTGCTTAGTGGCATTACTGAAGAGTTTTCTTAGTAACTTTAGAATATGAACGGATCCATTAACCGTATTTTTTTTCTTAAAGTCATGGAAAGAATAAATAAAGTTTGGAGGAAGCTCTCACTGTCGGAAACTAGTTGGGTTGATATGAAATTGACACTGTCGTTATTTTAGAATACTAACTAGGAACTTTTTCCTTAAATGGGCATTGTTGAACCTCAACTGACAAGCTTTTATATCTTATTGCAAAGAGTTCAAGTCATTCCTTTATTAAGTGCAGAACGATTTTCTTATGACGACGAACATTCAAAAGAAACTTTTGGGAAAGGAACAACATCAGTGTGCTTATATGACAAAGTATCGTTTAAGGTTCTGCGAGGACTAAAAGAATTCACGGCCTCTTACTTTTTTGAATGGTCTTGTCTCATGAATAAATGGAGTTATGCTGCAGGTCACTCGAATATACTCATAACAGATGAAAGTTCCATTTGAGAATATTTTGTGCAAGAAAGAGAAAGGGATTACTTGTCTTCCAAACAACTCTACAAACTGCTACTCGAAAGAAATAGACTCGATAAAATGGCTTACAACTGGAAGCAATGCAAAATCACTTTTTAGAGAATCTATTCTTTGACAAAGAAACTGAGAGAGCTTTACCAGGAAGAATTATCATTAGCCAAAATGATTTCTTCAATGTTTCTTATTTGGTTATGAAGAATTTGTATTGAAGTATATATATTCGCTTGTGTCGTGTTTTCCTATGGAATGCAAGTATTTGAGGAGATGATATGCCAAGTGCTAGATTCTTATTCCAACTTATTACCCAATGAATGACAATAGAACCAGTCACTTTAAAAGTTTTCAATTTTTGTTAAAACTTCAGCTCTGTCTTCAAGCAGTCTATCTCAAAGCTCTATATGGCGACATAATTTACTGTATGTTATAAACTCTCTTGTAAGATTACATAGAGGTTGACAATTTTATTCAAAACTTATGCATTGGAATCGACCACCAGCTGTCTCAACTTTGAATAGTTGCAAAAGTTAAGTGAAATCCGATTGAACAAACTTCATAGTCACATTGCTTTGATATGGCTAATTTTCATCATTTAGTGTTAACAGTACTTTATGTGGAACATAGTTAGTTTGATTGGAATAGGCTTTGTAACGTTGAATTCAGTTGTATAGGTCTAAAAATTGCGAAGAGCAAGACTGCCAACAGATATTAACTTTGTCTCAACTTGTGAGGTTCTCTTTATTAGCTGTACAAAAGCAAGGGAATTCCTCTTTTATGAATTGAACACATTCTATCAAGTTAAAGGGAGGCATCTCAACACCTGTGAGGTTTGATTTTTGGGTTGAAGATTCACTGGTTGAGTTTATAGAACTGGAACGAGAGGAAGACCGTCCTCAATCTTAAATCAAGTGTCATATAGCTGATAGCGTCAATCTAAACTTTTGCCAAGTGTGCAATAAAATATGCCTATAATTAGCTAAACAAACGGTTTAGAAATTGGACAACCACAGACCAAGAATTATATGGTTCTGCTTGCGACTTCTTTGTTAAGAGTTTCTCGGGCAGCTTTAACTTTCTTGCATTTTATAGAAGACTGCTTCAGATGACTACGAGTCATATCTAACAATGGCAAAAACATACAAACCCTTTCCTGTTTGGAATTCTGCAAGTGCGTTGTGTACGAATGCTATGAAATTACAATGGTTTGGCTAGATTTGACTGGTATTTGCTCATATGGTATGAACCTGCGTACGTTGCTGGTGACTCTCTTCAACTTGAAAGAATGGAAAAGTACCTTCATCTTTTAATCTCTGATGGACAAAAGTTGAGGTAAAAGTTATTGTCTTCCTATGATTACAAGATAGCACTGTACCAATATAAAAGAGAAAAAACGAAAGAAAATCAAAGACCTTGAGATTTCGTGAGGTTAAAGTCACAGGTCGATAAGGAGCGTCTTGGTTCTTTGACATAATGTTGGCAATCATAAAAAATGGAGTTGTGCTTTGTAATCATAATAAATTGATTAAATTCAGCATCTTCAACTGCTAAGAGCTAATCATTTTGGTAACTTCCTAACAGTTTCCAATTTTTTTCATACAACTGACTGGAAATCTTTTGTCACTATAACACCAAGTATACAAGAAACTATAGCTACTGTGAAAGAAGAGAGTGTTCGACAATTCACCTTCATTATAGCCTTGTCATTTTTCTGTTGAGTTACAACTGTATACAGTAGATTACGAAAGGTGGTTTCTAAAAGTTGTGAAATACTTAGCATTCGCCAAAGCATGAGTGTTTTGTTGCAGACTTCAAGAGGAGATATTGTTGTTGACCTTTTCACAGACCTTGCACCTTTAACTTGTAAAAATTTTCTCAAACTTTGCAAGATCAAGTATTATCACCTCTGTACTTTTCATTATGTTGACAAGGTGAGCTTGTAGTTGAAACTGTCTTTTTAGAAGTTTTATGGTTGATTCTTTTGAATTTAGGGTTTTGTTATACAAACAGGTGACCCGACAATTACAGGTAAAGGAGGTGAAAGCATATATGGAATTTGTTTTGGAGAACAAGCACGATACTTTGAAGACGAGTTCACTCCCAAGCTTCGGTACTTTATTATTTATGTAAGATTTTGAAAGTGCTAAAACACGAGTTTTTCACTGATAGACATAATCGCAAAGGACGAGTTTCTATGGCTAATGCCGGTCAGCCAAATACTAATGGCAGTCAGTTTTTTATTACTCTTAGTGATCAGTTGGACTACTTGGATGAGAAATATACCATTTTTGGTCAAGTAGAAGAGGTATTTATTCCTATTCATTTGCGTATTCAAGTTGTTTATATTATTTTCTATAGGGTTGGGAAACAGTTGAAGCAATAGAATCGGTCCTTGTTGACGAAAAGAAGAAACCTTTTCAAGTTATTCGCATCTATCATACGATTATATTGGACGACCCTTTTCCTGATCCTCCAGGTATGCCACCCATACCTTCTTCTCCTGAACGAGATGGAAACCAAAATGTCGTGTCCTCTGAAGTACGACTAGGTAAGTTTCTGTAGAAGAAGAAAAGTGATTGTAATTCGAAAGTAAATCTTCAGATGATGATGAAATCTGGCAAGAAGAGGAAGGAATGGATAGTGAAGAGAGAGAAAAGTTGAGACGTAGAAAAGAGGCACATTCTCGTGCAGAGGTTTTAGAGATCATTGGAGATATTCCTGATGCAGAAGTTAAACCACCGGATAATGTAAGAGAGAAAATTGTGCAAGATGGACCAGTCTAATGACTTTTATTCTATGTAGACATTATTTGTTTGCAAGTTGAATCCTGTGACTCGTTCCGAAGATTTGGAACTTATTTTTTCTCGGTTTGGTGAATGCAAGGTTTGTTATGAATTGGTTGACTATGTGTAGAAAGTAGTGAAATTGGTTGTAAGGCTGAGATAATTAAAGACAAAGTTACTGGCGAGTCCCTATGTTATGGATTTATAGAGTTTCCTGACCGTAAAGCTTGTGAACAGGCATTTTTTAAAATGAACAATTGTTTGATTGATGATCGAAGGATAAGAGTAGGAATATACTGGTTTAACTATTTTTTTGCTAAAATTTGTTGATTGTTGTTCAGGTAGATTTTTCACAAAGTGTTGCCAAGTTGTGGAATCGTGTTCGTCAAGGCCATTGTATTCGTTTAGACGAGGACGAATCGCTTCAAAGTATGTGTTGTTTATTCGGTTGATAATGAAACTGATGTGAATTGATAATATTAATTATCTTTCCTAATAGGTCACGGAAAACGATCCTATCACAATGAATATGTATTCGATGACTTGGAAGAGAAAGCCTTGTTTCAAGAGCATCGTAGAAGCTCTTACTCCAAAACTTCAAAAAGGTACAAATAACTAACAAATGACGAAAGAACAAGTTGTTCTGATACCAATTCGTCGTGGATTCTTTTTGAGAACAAAATGTTATTTGTAAATGTAACAGACAATGTGACTACCATTTTTGCACAATATTCTTTATAATTTTATTGGATATTCAAAATTCCAGTTTCTTAGGTATTTCCCACGTAAACGTCGATTCTACTTTGGGATCTCTGCCAAAGTGGCCATAAGCTGCAGTCTGCTTATAGATAGGCCTTAACAAATTCAAATCTTTTATGATACGACCAGGACGAAGATCTTATGGTACAAAACATGGTTATGATCAATCTTAAAGTAAAACGCAAAACTTACCAAAGTTCTTCTTGACTATTTCCAAGATTTCTTGATCTGGCTTGGTTCCCGTTCCATAAGTATCCACAAAGACGGAGAGTGGTGAGGCGATTCCAATAGAATAAGATAGCTGAACCAAGCAACGACGTGCAAGTCCTGCAGCAACAATAGACTTGGCAACCCATCTCGCAGCATAAGCGGCTGAGCGGTCGACCTTTGTAGGATCTTTTCCAGAAAAAGCGCCACCACCATGAGCACCCCAACCACCGTAAGTATCAATAATGATCTTTCGCCCTGTCAAACCTGCATCACCTTCCGGTCCTCCAATCACAAAACGTCCGCTTGGGTTCAAATGATAAACAGTCTTATCGTCTAAATATTTACTGGGAATGACTTCCTTGATAACTTTTTCCAGCAAATCTGCACGAATCTTCTCATTCGATACGTTATCATCGTGTTGCGTAGATATGACGACAGTATGAACTCTTAAAGGCACCAAATGACCATTCTCCTTTCGATATTCCATAGTAACTTGGGTCTTGCCATCTGGACGAACCCAAGGACAAGTGCCTTTCTTACGTACTTCAGTCAGACGTTTCCCAAGACGAGTAGCAAAACTATGTGTCAACGGCATATAGTCTGGAGACTCATCCGTGGCATAACCAAACATAATTCCTTGGTCACCAGCAGCAACGTCATCAGCTGCACGGTTCTCATGAACTCCTTGTGCAATATCTGGTGACTGTTGATGTAACTCAACCAACACTCGACAAGTCTTATAGTCCAAGCCCTTCTTCTCATCATCGAAACCAATCTCCTTTATGGTATCTCTCACAACCTTCTCATAATCAATAGTAGCACCCTTTACAGTTATTTCACCAAAAACCATAACCATGCCAGTCTTTGTGGCTGTCTCACAAGCTACCTTTGCGAGAGGGTCCCTTTCAAGGCAAGCGTCTAGGACGGCATCGGAAACCTTTGTGAAACAAGAGTAATGAAACAAGTCTGCTAACTGAATACATAAAAACTTACTTGGTCACATATCTTATCCGGATGACCTTCATTAACTGACTCTGAGGTAAATAAGAAAGTAGATGAATCACCAACTGAACCCATGAATCTGACCCTTTTAAAGGTGCCATTCTATGAGGACACACTATGACAGATGGGTAGAAATAGTCCCTGGATTTCTTTTGCATGCTATTCTGAGAAATGTCTTTTATGTTCCAAATCTGATCACAAACCTATAATTCGTCTCTTTAAAAAGAGTATCTTCCTAAATGAAAACGGACACAACTAAAGTGCCCAAAAATAAAAGGAATAGGATTCGACTAAGAATCTAGTTAAGGTTCTTACAAACTATCTTAAAAATGTGAACCCAAGGGCTGATATCGACAAGAGCCTAAAGGACCAAGATTCTGACTGCAGATATGCACGAAAAATATTCTAAAACGACATTCAATAAAAACCTGCTGATTTACGAGAGAGATGAAAGGTTCACGACCTTGAGTTATTTGGAATCCATTGCCTTGGTTATCTCCTCGAAACGCAAACAGCGAATTTCCATGGGATACCAGAGTTTAAACAACGATATTTCTTGAATGGAGTATATAAAGGTAACAGAGGTATTCAATATTGGACAATCCAAAAAGACAATACAAGCCAAGTGGAGCTCAACGTCTCAAAGGAAAAGGTGGGACTGTTACAATAGAAACAATTCAAAGCTTGAAATATGTTCAAAGAGAGGTTTAAATTCCGAAATTTCATTTTTACAACTTTAATCCCTCGATAGGTTTGAAGTGGCTAAAGTGTCATAAACCAACTTAAAGATATCCAAAGTAACTGTATAGCCGCCCTGGAAACTCTTGAAAAACATTATCAATTTGTCCAATTTACAATTTGTGTTTAGGTCATTCGTTGTTGAAAGTTTCGAGTTGTATCAGTCTTTGGATAATGCAAACAATATACCGCTTAAAAGAACCACAAATTGACAGGGAAGAGGACGTCAGGACAATTATACAGACGTTTCTTTTTCAGTTCTCGGAGAAGGCGTACGGTGGGCCTTCGTTCAATCGCCCGGCTTGCTGTTTTGCGCCGCATATTTATGGAGCCGGCAAAACATTTGTAGGCCAAAACTTTTTGGCCTATTTGAATATTTTTGCAGAGCGTGAGTGTTCCAATGCACAGGCTTTTCAACAACTACACAGTTCAAACGATAACCCCCAACCGAGTGCGTTGAAGGTGCCTTGGAAACACTTTGCGGAACAAACTTTGTCAGTTATCTTAGAACTAAGAGAGAGCTTTTCTGATGCTCCTTTTCCAAGTTTTCGAAAGGCTTTGATGTATAATATTATTTTGAACGCTTATCGACAAAATGGTAAAGATACGGACGCTCTTCAGATGGCTCAGAGGACGGTAAAGAAATTCGATACTGTAGGAGCTATTAATTTTCTTCTCGAACAATTTCAGAAACGATATTTATTTTTGATGATAGACGAACTTAGTCACCTGAGTTACCTCACCACATACTATAGTGAACTTGGCGCGAAAGAGTTCGTCGAGTCTGACCCAAAATATGTACCTTTCCGGAATTTCTTCCGTATTTTACGTGGTTTTTTGATTACAGGGAAGTTAATTGTCTATTTGGCAGGTCGGACTGCTGAAATCTCGGCCCCCTTGTCTGATGCTCGCTCCAGTAGTGTGAGTCTTCGTATGTTGCGGTTGAATCCCTTTAACCTCCGTGATATTAACGAATATATTGAGCTGGCAACTTATGATGGAAAGTCCTTGAAGGACTGGTTATTACCCTCAGATGGTATACGACATCGATTTTTAGAATTGTTGAAAAAGAAGACAGGGGGTATCCCGTTGATTTTAAGGAATACTTTACTTGCCCTAGTACGGAAAGTTGCAAACTTATCGCAACCTGCTATCAACAA